TTTAACAGTTACCGGAACTTGGCCTTCGTTGTTACCCAAACGTCATTTATCAAAATTAATTACAAACATCCTCGGTAGTAAGTAGTCCAATCCTAATATGCATTCGTCTTCAATGTCAGTCAAGTATACTTTGTGTCTGTCCTTTATGCCCATGAGCTCAATAGTTACCCACACTGGTCCCCACAACCTTGCAGGATGTCCTGTCACACCACAAAGTGTCTGTATGGCTTCTGGTACTCCTTCGTGATCTAACACCTTGATGCTCACAAGGGTTTGCTGAGACGCAGAATTTATGGCAAAGTTGCACCTTTGGCCATCCAGCTTTCCCATCACATAGACGCTGTGTGTGCTTGGCATTTTACACCTAGTTGTTGGGACTTTCATGATAGGGGCTGGTGAGTGTCCCTCAACAACAACCACTACTTGTCTCCTTGAGTCTGACTTGTTGGTAATATTCTTCTTACACTGGCTCCTCATATGTCCTTGCTCTCCACAGTTCCAACAACCTTACTGGGTAACAGCCTTTCCTGCTGTGGCATCTCCCCTGTGTTGAAGTTGCCAGCATTGAGCTCTCTTGTGCCCAGGTTTATTACAGTGCCAGCAAAGTCCCTCAAACTTCTCTGAAAGCTTCACTTTTCTGGCCTTGAATCCTTACAACTGTACCAACCTTGGTACCTCTGTGCTGGACTTAACGTAGGATTCAAATTCAAGGGATTTGGCCATTGCATCCTGCATAGTAGAGTGGTGTGCTTGATTTATTTGCATCTTCAGTTGTGGACTGTCCAAGACATCTACAAACTGATCCCTCAGCAACAACTTGAAGAGATCGGGTGGTGCAGTTTGGTAGGCCTTGTGAGCCATGCTTTCCAAGTCCTGTGCCAGCTCTTGCAGGCTCTCCCCTTTAGCATGGACTCTCATCCTAAACCTAGCCCTGTGGACTTCAGACTGATTTTGGGTTCCGTACCTGAGTTCTAGAGCCGCTACCAGTGCTCTATAGTTGTGCCTCTCGTAGGGTTTAGATGCGGGGTCTGAAAGGGGCTTCCCATTGTCTGAGGCTGATTAAGTCGGTAGTTAATGTACCCTCCTTGTGTAAAAGACAATAAATCATTCTTTAATGTATCTAATTCGCCTTTATGTTTTCAGTTTGTACTTCTTGCCACTGTTGTTGACTTTCCTGTAACTGTTGGAGACTTTCTTCCTGTTTATTTTCTTTCTCTTCCATCCACTGCTGTAGCCTCTCTTTTTGTTAATTTTCTTTCTCCTCCAACCACTGCTGTAGTCTCTCTTCTTGTTTATTTTCTTTCTCCTCCAATAGCTGTTGTAATCTCTCTTCTTGTTTCTTTTCTTTTTCCTCCAACAACTGCTGTAATCTCTCTTCTTGTTTCTTTTCTCGTTCTTCTTGTTTCTTTTCTTTTTCCTCCAACAACTGCTGTAATTTCTCTTCTTGTATATTTTGCTGTTCAAGCTGCCACTGTTGCAGGTTTTCGTGCAACTGCTGTTGTCTCTCTTCTTGTTTCTTTTCTCATTCTTCTTGCATCTTTTCTTGTTTATTTTCTCATTCTTGTTTCTTTTGCTGCTCTTGTATTGCTGCCATCAAATCTGCTAAGCTGTAGTTTGATTTGCCGCTTCTCATTTCCATTTTTTATTTTTGTCCCACCTTACTGACACCAATTTGTTACGTCTCTGGTCGTTAGTTAATTTTCCATAAAAATTCTTTCCGAAGAAACTTTAGCAATACAAGTCCTTTCTT